AATATCTAAATAAATACAAAAATTTAAGAAATGCTTTTATTCTGAAAGGTTAAACTGGAAGTATCACAAGTTTGACAGGGAATAAAAACATGAACTAAATGCTAGCAGGTGGGATGTTCAAAGATAATCCCAGTGCTTTTGCATTATTTACTGATTGTCACATGGAGGACTAGATATTATGATAAATGTTAGCAGTTTAGCTTTAGCTTCCCTTAAATTAATTTATATTTAGCTTTTTATCACTAGCAGAACTAAGGAAATTGTGAAGCGGTTTAGGTGTTGGTGAATATTTTGGTTAGCTGTGTCTACCACTGCTGTAACATTAGCTTTGCAAATCCTAAACCACCGAACAGGTAAGAAAATTAGTGGAAGCGAACGCTAACTGATAACTCAAGATATTTGGTATCCACAAAACATCAGAATCTTGGCTGGAAGCTCAGAAGAAAACTATTTCTACATCCACTAAACAAAGTGAGACCCCGCCCATTCAACTGTGTCCTTTATAGTGGACATGTTGTTAATCTGTATATTCTTTTATTTTTTTGAGTTACCATATAAAGCTCTGCAGTACTCTTTAGAGGACATCCTGGGCTTTCCAGTGATGTGTCATGTGATAGGTTTGCATGCTGGGAAKTCACTTTTTCTTTTCAGTCAAAATGGCTGGCATACAAACAACCACATTTTATGCAAAGAGAAAAGGTAAGCAAAATATTCTTTATCTATTGCTATTTTTACCATGATATTTATATATAGTCTTGTTTATTAACATATCAATGATAATAGTTTTACCTCAAAACATTGTTTTATTATTTTTGTTTTGAATTACCAGTACTTTTATGAATGTCAACTTTAGTGGACACCAGGACAATTCTGATGTATTTAATGTCAATATTGTTGTAGGAGAAAGAAGTGAAGCAGAGAAGATTTTATACCGAATAGTAGAGGGAGATTCAGATTTGGGACTGTCAGATGAGGATGAGCCTGGGACAGGAGAAGATGTTCAAGAAGAAGTAGGTGAAGAAGGAGAGGAAGAAGATGCAGGGGTATCTGATGAGGAAACAGACTCAGAGCCAGAAATGGAGCAGGAAAGTCGTCGAGCTTTGTGGGCCAGGACTACCTTGTAGGTTTTATTTAGTTCTAGGCTGTTGTATTCAATTTTATTCTCATATTAGATTATTGTTGTATTATTTTGTATATTAATACTTATTTGTGTATTTTTTTCAACCATCTAAATAGATACACACCTGTGCTACCTGGGCTTCCTGTCTATCAAGATGACCCTAAAATCCGAGAACACTYGAGTCCAATACAATACTTTTCGCAGTACATTGATGACAAAATCTTTGAAGATTTGGCAGCTTTTACAAACCAAAGACAGCTGCAAACTACAGGAGTGTCACTAAATACTACTGCCCAAGAAATCAAGATTTTCTTTGGTATATCAGTACACATGGCCTGCCTTGGCTATCCCAGAGTGAAAATGTTTTGGGCCAAAAAAACTGAAGTGCCAGTTATTAGCAAGAAAATGACAAGGGATAGGTTCTACAAGCTGAGAAGCTCACTCAAGATTGTTGATGATCTGAATGTAGGAGAAGAAACAAAGGAGTCAGACATTCTTTGGAGAGTCAGACCATTGCTTGACCGTGTGAAGCAAGGCTGTCTCAGCCTTCCAAGGTATAACAAGGTCTGCATTGATGAGCAAATCATCCCTTTCACAGGGCGCTGTCCAGTCAGGCAATATGTCCCTGGCAAGCCAAATCCTACTGGCCTAAAAGTCTTTGTCCTTGCCACTCCAAATGGCTTGGTGTTGGATTTTGAGGTGTACCAAGGGAAAAATACATTCAGGGGCCAACGGTTGGGAGTTGGAGCTTCAGCAGTTTTGCGACTGGTTGAATCTGTTCCTACAGGAACTTGTGTATTCTTTGATCGATATTTCACAACTATCGATCTCATGGATGCTTTGCTTGCAAAGGGTCTTCCAGCAACTGGAACAATAATGAAGAACCGAGTACCAAAGGCATGTCAGCTACCAGGAGACAAGCAGTTACYAAAAGAAGGGAGAGGAGCATCTGTGACGGTTGTCCGGAGGAGGCCAGAGCTGGCAGTCACCAAATGGTTTGACAATAAATCAGTTCTGATGGCTTCCACTGTGTATGGGAAAGATCCAGAAGATATCTGTAGCAGATGGTCCAACAAAGAAAAAGCTCATGTCCAGGTGCGACGACCAGCAGTGATCAGAGAATACAATGACAACATGGGTGGTGTAGACTTGTGTGACAGAATGCTGAGCTTTTATCGCATGTCAACCAGGACCAAGAAATGGACATCACYTGTGATCATGCATTTCTTTGATGTTGCCATCGCAAATGCTTGGATCCAATACAAGTCTGACAGTAAAGCGCTCAGTCGATCAGTTAAAAACACCCAACAGTACCTGGACTTCAAATTGCACCTGGCTGAAGAGCTTTTGGATAGTCATTCATTTGATGACCGCAGTGAAGACAGTGAAGAAGAGTATCAGCCACCAGCCAAAACAAGAATCCCTCAACCASAGCCATCTGTACGCAGACTAGGGGCCAGGCACATGCCAGAGATGGTGGACATCAAGCAWGCTGAAAGATGCAGGAATAAGGGCTGCAATGGCAAGACATACATGAGGTGTACTAAATGCAAGATGTTTCTCTGCATCACCAAAAAGAAAACATGCTTCCAGGATTACCACCGCTAAAAACTAGTAGCTGCTCATGCTCATTTTTACTGTTCAGCTAAAAACAAAGGCAACTGTTGAGCTTTCAAGCAACAGAATGAAAAGAAATMRAGCTTTTTGATCAAACKATAAAGGTTCTACTGGTAATATCATTCTAAATCAATAATCTGTTATTTTTTTTATTTTTCTAAATTCTGTTGTACTTTCACACTAAAATAATCCTGTTGTCAACTACAGAGGACATGTTGTAAAATTAAAAATAAAAATAATTTGGAAAAAATTTAAATTGTAAGGTGTTTTTTTATGCCCAAATAATTAGGAAATCACAAAAAAAAAGAAATTGTAAGACACTTTTTTTCTTCGGTTCCCAGGAGGTAAACAGCAAGAGGTTGAATCAGAAAATGCTTAAGATGCTAAACGTGTATAAAAAAGGTGCATGAAACAGGTGTGCAGCTTTGCATGTGTGAGGGGATAGTTGTTTTTGTTTTTATTAGCACAACTAATTTTAGCGGAAGCTAACTGGTCTGCCAACGGTTTCCTAAGTTAGAAAATACGATAATCAGCAAAGTGAAAAGGTAGCTACGCTATTAGCTGATTAGCAGAACTGTGCCCACTACTGCATTTTTTTGAGTCAAACAGAGTTCTCAAATGTAGTTTGTGATTTGTTACATATTTTTAGTGTGATGTAATCAGAAGCAGTGTGGCAAACTCACCAGCGGTACCCAGAACAGTGTAGCCGAGGATAACGGTGACAAAGATAACACAGCAGGCCACATCAGTGCACCGTCTGTCAATTAAAACACATGAAAACAAACAAATAAATAAAAAATTAGTGAGTGTAGGGAAGCCTGAACATTTGCCTAATATTAAAAGAGAAAAAAAGACGAGTAAAGACAGTTTAATTACTGTAATACTGTAATTTCATTGTGCTTTGTACAATGGCAATAAAGGTTTATCTTATCTTATTATGCATTTGTTTGTAAATATAGCTGCTAAAATATAGTTATAGTTCTATCCAGATACTGTATTCATGATAAAGTATAATTTTTATACTGTTTTGAAAAAAACATCAGTGGAGCTCCACCATCTCCTTGATGAGAGAGAGAATTCAGCACCTCCCCCAAAGGGTTAACTGTCCCACAGGCACAGAAACAGCTATTTGAAGTTTTCTCTTCCTCTACACAGCAGTTTGCCCGTGGAAAAAAAAAATCCCTGCATCTCAGAGTGTGTCTGTCAGAGTCTTTATTCACTGTTTCAGGGCTTCCTGCATAACAAGCTGCCTTCCCCTCCTGCCTGCACAGAGAAAAGCTTTCCGTCCAGCTCTTTTTCAAAACCATTTAGACTTGAAGTATTCCATCCTGCCACAAATGAAGGGAAGTCCTTCCCAGTTCCCACTGAGTCAAGCTGCACTCTTCAAGGGACAGACGGTTCCTAACTTTCCCATGGTGCCGCACACTTTGTGAAAGTGATTTGAGACTCTCGTCTCCTCCAGCTTTCAAAGCGCAGGTCAAAATGTAACTGTGTTCCTCCGTGTGGTCCTCAGAAGTCAAATTGTTCTTGTTCTACCTGCCGCATAGTTATATAAAGATACTGCTCTTGAATCTCTTAACTTCACAACAAACTAGATGAAAGTGGGGGAACCCATATGAACTGAAATAACTGGGTTAGACCCAGAAGTGTTTAAATGCAATCAAATGAAAAAATGTGCATTTTTATTATTATTTCTTGTTCATAAGCTGCTATAATGTGAAAATTTATGGTGTGGATTAGAGCTAGAACTGGGTGGTATATCGGTTCATACTGAAAACCGGTTTGCTTTTTTAATGCTATGGATTTTCCATATACGGACATACCCGTTTAAATAGGCTGAACAACGTTATGAACGTCTCATCAACTAATTAACAGTTTCATGGGGGACATATTTCATTGCTGAACTGCTGAGTAAAAATGCTACGTGGTTGATGAGAGGTGGGACCCAAAGGAGACATATCGGCTGTGTCTCAATTCAGGGGTTGCAGCCTACCTAGACCACGGCCCACGTAGGCCAGAAGCCGTGCAGTCCGGACAGGCTGCATAAAACTGCTGTGAAATTATAAATTTTTCCATGTTTTTTGCAAAGTCCTGCATTCTTTGTTATTTTAACCAATCATATATCTGCATGTTCAACTCATTTTGGAATAGTCTGCTATGACTTTTAGTATTTGTAACCTTAATAATATTGGACTTAATTGCCATTATTTACATTTTAATAATGAAGTACATTGAAATATTTTCAATTCCCATTTTTCTCTGATATGGCCATCTCAGCTTTTAGGTACTGATGTCTTAATTTTAGCTTCTGTTCTGCTTGTTTTATTTCAACAATTCATTAAGCACTGATTAGTGACATCGTTTTTTCAGAAAATGTCATTTTTCTATAGCATAAAGTGTCAGCCAAATAAAATGAGAAAACACGTGAATAAAATAAAAGACAAATAAAAAACATTTCTCTATTGAGAAATGTGTAAAAATGAGGAAATTTTGAGGGATAGTTAAAAGGAAATTATTATGGCAATTGATAGTTTTACCTCATAACCAGGTCAATCCAATAACAAAATGTGCACTAGGGCTGCACAATATAACGAAAATGTATCGTCATCGCAATAACAGTTTTTTTTTCTTTTGCTCTGAGCCCAGAGCAGAAAGACATCAATATACTTATGTAATTGTTTATTAATAGCCAGTTACATCGCCATCACAATATTAAGCACTGTTATCACACATCGCAGGTTTTTCTATATTATGCATCCCTATTGTGCACAACTATAAGATAAAATAAGATGGACTTGTAAAAACAATAAAGACGATATTCTACTTTTTTTTAAACAACAGTTGCACTGAAGAGATAAGAGACGACAGTGAGCTAAAATAGCCTCTGCTTAGTTAAGGCAGGCCCAGGTTTACACTGACAGCAGCTACAAAGCAAATAAAGACAACTTTGAGCAAAAATAGGTTGCTTAGATGAATGTCACCTTCCACTTCTTTCAAATCTCTAACTTTTCCTCAGATGATAAATAAGTTAGCTGTCACTCACACACCCTGGGTAATTCCAGGAAAAAATATATATATATGAGAGATGTTCCTCTCCTCTTCAGCCTGTCTGTTGCTGTAGATTTTGCACTGTAAATTTCCACATTGAGACACAACAGCATTTATTTAAATAAGTAAGTGCATGCTCAGCACCACAGTGTTTAAACAGAGTTACCTCTAAAGCAAGTAAAGGTCAGTGCTGAGATGAAGCTGACAAAATGAGGAGAGCTAAATGATTCAGCTTAGCTCTCATATTATTTTAGGAAAAAAGACAGAGATCGCCACAGATTCCACCTGACACAGGTAGAGTCAAAAGCCTCAGGACACCCTTTTATTTTAGAAAGAAAAGGAAAAATTGAATATCTGAATACCCCAGCAAGTAATGCTAGGCTCAGACCGAATGCGTTTTGAGCATCAGGTTTACATTCAAAGTCTATGGTGGATGCGCATCTAGGGGCATCGAGAAGCCTAATGGCGCAACTAACGCGGCGCGTTTCGATAAAGTAGGTGCAGTTTGAGCATTTGACGTGCTTATGGTGCATCCAAAGCAGCCGATGTTGGAGTTGGAAAATCTGAACTATTGCTGCTTGACGCAGCGCGCCAACCAATCAGAGAGACTCTATGTGATGTAGCGGTGCATTTTCAGACAGGACGCCCACTAACCTGAGAAAGATGGACAGGAGCTCTTTAGCTGAAATCGAGTACCTGTAGTCGGTGTCCTGATCGGAGATATTGGCACTGATGTGGGTCAACGGCTTGTCATACTGAGCTCGGGACAAAACCAGATCTGAAAGCGAGCCTTGTCAGCTCCTGGAGTGGTGAAACTCACCAAACTCAGAACGTCTCTGAATTATCTGGTGAACCAATTATGAATTGAGTGGTACATACTCTCGCTTTCAGAAAAAAAAGCAAAACCACTTTCTTAATTTTACTTTATTGTTAAGCTTTATTCATTTCATAAAAAAACAAAATTTTATCCACCCTTTGACAGAGACCGACTGAGGAAAACAAACAAGAGGCACTTCCCGACACGCATTACGAGTGTCTYGAGCAAATGACGAGCGTCTGAGCTCAAAGTGCACAACCTGAAGTGTTGGACGTGTTTTTGATGCTGAAAACGTGTTTGGTATGAATGTAGCATAATGGGTGAGGGGACACAGACATTCTGCTCTTCTTTGATATGATACATGACCACCTTCCAGTTAGAAAATGTTGACTTTGATCCCATATGGTGGCTTTCATGATGGCAGCCATGTTCTGTATGTAGCCTAAAACACATGTCAAAAATGTGGCCCACAATGGCATTATATGTGACCTGAGAGGGCTTCAAAAATGTATTAACTGAATGTCTTAAAATAAACATAAGCTGCTTAAAGCCAGCACGACCATAAACTACATCTCACATTATGCATGGCAATTTTTTTACCCATGAAATGATAGCATCCCACCACTAGGTGGGGGTGCAAAGTGTTCAAAAGTAGCTGTCAACCAGCAACATTTGACGTGTAACATCTCGACTTTGCTGCATTTTGCTGGGTAATTTTTCTGCAACCCAGGTGTACTGGGAAGTGGGATTTTCTGCACTTACAAGTTGTAAATTTAAACTGGACCGCCCTGTTGGAAAGTGGGAGAGTTCAGAACCAAGATGGCAGCTACTCACCACAACCCAAAGTGAGTAAAACTCTCTTACTTTTAATAGTATTTCTGTATTATTTATTTCACACGTAGTACTTACCAGTGTTTAAAAGAGTACATATAAAAATGTTTCTATGCATGAAATACCACGTAGAGCTCAGTTATTGTTTGCTAGCAGTGTTTGGCCAAAGCAAAAAGATCAGGAAGTCAAAGTTCAACACAAAACATAAAATTATAACTGGTAATGCTCATGTGGCCCTCTGTGAAAAAGAGTTTGATAACCCTGGCCTAAAAGATAGCCCCCCTCACCCATTACTTGCTGGAGTATTCAGATATTTAAATAAAAGGGTGTCCTGATACGTTTGATACCCTGTACATTCATATATTTAAAAAAATAGAATTTAATATTTATAAATTAAAATCTTAGAACTGCTTGAGTTCTGTTTTGACAGGTATGTTGCTTAAACCAAAAACAAAAACAGAATCAGCAGTGAAAGCTCGTCATTTCAATGGGAAACTTTGGTGTGATTGTTCTATTCACAGGCTGGATATTCTGACACAGATGGCATGAGTGCAGAGTAGTGAGGGTGCCATTGTGGCATTAATCTGCCAGACTGTACTCGCTTTGTGATGAACATTTTGCAGAAAAAAGGGGCCAGATTTGCAGGAATAAGGGATATTGTACATGGCTCACAAAAGCCACGGGGGACAGCTGTTAAAGTGAGCAGCAGAAACCCTGTCAGAGAAGTTGTCAACTCTCACAGGGATGAAAGAGAAATCCGGATTTATGTTTGAAGTGCTCATTTAAACTGAATGACACTCTACAAAGATGAATCATTACACTGCATTGCTAGTGTTTAGTTTGACATAATTCAACACCAATTGCATGGGTCTGTTTACAGCTGTAGTCAAGTCCATTACCATGTCTCTGTCTGTAGATGAATAATCAATAAATGCATCAGCTATCTTATTTAGGCTTAGTTTGTATGAAAAAAGAAAGACAACCACTGAGTTGGTCTTTTCCCAGTTCTCATTAAGACAAGCCTGTGGGCCAAAAAATAATAAAAAAAAAAACTTCAAAGTATCCTTGGTGCCTTCACCCAGCTGTACATGGGCTGCAGAGGGTGGGATTTAGAGACACGAGAAAACTATGAAATGCAGAACTCACAATGAACATACACTTATACGAAACCATATCATTTAAAAAAAAAATCAAAACATGGAGTTTATAAGAGAAAGATTTATTGAAAAAATTGTGTTAAAGAAATCAGGTATTCTCCATGGGACGATTTATTTTAAAAGATATGTAAAATAATGTTTACAATGTGTGTCACTGGGTTGATTCAGGCCATCAGCTTTGTGTTTTACCCTCGGATCTGTGCGGTGGTGTGAACACATCTGTGAGCGCCTCTGCCCCAGTCTCTATTAATGTAGCATGACAACTAAATCCATTTGTCCACACTCACAGAGATATGTGAAAAACAGATTACACAATGGGCAGAATCAATACACATGTAAGAGTCAGAGGACTATAATCAACTGTATGTCATTTCAGCTCTCATATCAGTACAGACAAAGAATAATAATAATAATAATAATAAAAAACTAAAACAAAAAAAGTTAATTAAAAAGTAGCCTTTATTAAAAGAATGCATATAAATTGCTGCTTTGGATGTTAAAGTTTTTAAAATATATATTTTGTGATTCGTTGGCGCTGGATGATGTTCAGCTACTTCCGCACTAAATTTAAGCTCCATAACTGGAAAATTGACTGAGACATAGACACTTTTTTGTGTTTGCTATGGCTGATTAGCTGTGGCAGCCATCTTGAAAAAGATTGATTTTCTTATTTGTTCCCTATTTTCCTAACAGAGCACTTCACTCTCAGACTGCAGGTTTACTTGTGGTTCCTCGAGTTTCTAAAAGTAGAATGGGAGGCAGAGCTTTCAGTTATCAAGCTCCTCTCTTGTGGAACCAACTTTCAGTTTCTGTCCGTGAGGCTGACACTCTGTCTACTTTTAACATTAGACTGAAGACTTTCCTTTTTGATAAATCCTTTTGTTAGGTTGGCTTCTTGAGTTATTCCTTAGCTCTGCTACTATAGACTGCTGAAGGACAAACTGGCCACATTTCCTCACTCTGCTGCTGTCTTTAGTCACTTTCCTCTACAGGTTTGTTTCATTATTTCTATCAATAATGTGCTTTTTTGTCTCCCTTTCAGAGGAAAATACACCTGGACCAGTCATTTTGTGTTTGTGTCTCGTTCCTGTCCTCTCAAACCCAGCCGGTCAAGACAAATGGTCGCCTGTCCCTGAGCTTGGTTCAGGTTCTGCTGCAAGTTTCTTCCTGGTAAAAGGACATTTTTCCTTTCCATTGTCACTAATGTGCTGCTCAGGATGGGAGACTGAAGTGACGTGATTCAATATCATCTGATGGTTTCCTTAGATTGCTAACTTTTTATAGATTAGCTTTTATAATGTATGTGAATGTTTTTGTATAGACCTGAGACAACATTTATTGTGACTTGTAGCTATATAAATAAACTGAAGTGAATTGGATTTTAAAAGTTAATCAGTTTGAGATGTAATACCCAATGATTATATTCTGAAAATTATAATTTGTCTACTGTCACACAAAACAGTTTTGCTAAACACACATGAACACATAGTTTTGTTAAATACACATGACACAGACAAATACATGATTACCCATCTTTTAATGATTGTGGCGAATAATAATGGTTCAGTGTGTAATAAACAGCTCAAGTGTCTAAATGAATTAAATGCAAAAAAGGTGAGGATGTTGAGTACCTGTTCTGAACAGGGCCCCTGAAGTTTGGGTCAAACTTGAGTGGTTCACCTGTAAAATAAGAACAGAAGAGTGAATTCAACTTGAACATTAAAAAAAACTGTCAAAGTTCACTGAGAAGTGCTAACACAGATGATAATTATACAAGCTGCAAAAAACTTGCCCATGGTAACAATTAAGCCACTTCAGAATTTAGATGGAAGAATGACCACAGTAACATGGAAGAGCAATAAAAAAAGATAAAACCAAAATGATGTCTGAAACAACACGGCAGTGTAATAAATCATTTTAACTACTCCCCATCCAACAGCTTATCTGGTTCATAGAAAGATTGGCCTTTCTGCCCACCAGGGTAACACTGAACAACTTTTACAAGCAACATAAGTCTCCCAAAGGGCAAAGCCCTGAACGTGTGCACGCTCAGATGTTCCAAAGCATCTACATTTGCATTTATCACTGTCTGGTACTTTTTATCCCTAAATAGTCTCTCTCTCAGTTGACAGGACACATTACGTGTTGCTGGGACTTATTAATCATCACACGTGAAGTAGAACATCACCAAGCAGCTGAGGCAGACTTAGGGGCATCATGAGTGGGCTTCTCCCATCTGCCCAGAACTCGAACTAGATGAAACGTGCACGAGCCAGGTTTCATTTCAAAAGGTTTGAGAAATTAGTACACTGTATAAGGTTCTGCTCTGTTACACACAAACCCCTTTTATAAAACAGAACATAATCCATCTCTATCCTTGACAAACACTGAAATTCACTCCTAACAAACTGCCAGGTGCAATACAGATATTCAGGGTGACATCTTTTTTGAGCACAATTTAATCCAATTCACAAGTCTTTAAAACATTTTCTTTGACCTACCCACCTTTCCTACAGCACTGTTCTTCTCTGAAGTATCAAAAACTAACAAGTAAAATGGGGAGATTGTTGCAAGTAAGCACAAAATCTGCTCAGCGTCAATTAAAGGGGTGCCTTTATACTGCGTTGTCAGTGGAAAAACCAAAGCCCATGACCAGACAGGTGAAAGAGGGATAGTAACATTTTCATGTCATGTTCATCCAGACAAATTGGAGGTAACAATGCCAAACCTCACAAACTATTTCAATATATGCGTGACTGACTATGTGGAATCACTCAGGACCTTTGAAGCTGTGAAGGCAATTTAAACATCTTTTTCACACAACCCTTTCAAACTGTGTGACATATCTTTCCATGGTGGTGTCATGTGTGAAATGATCAATGCAGCACAGGAGGTTGAAGCTGACCTACCACTGACACGGCTCTGATCTGGCAGGGGTGGTAGTCATACAGCCAAGTGGACGTATATGTGCGCAGAAAGGGGTGGCACGTGCAACTTGTTACCAACAGTGCTTCAATCACTGTGGCTCATTCTGTGATGTATGTAAGGCCACAGCAACAGGGCATGAGCCAACTCTATTTGGCATGTTTAAATTATATGTTTTTTGTGAAATAGCTTAAGAGTGCAGGAAATAAGACTGGTGGACTGGATGTGTGCTGCTGGTTGTAGTCTACCCAAATAAGGGTCTGTAGTAAAAAACCATTTGGAAAAAGCCTGGCAGGCATGCAGCAGTGGGGCAGCAAGAGTTGTTTTTAGCTGCACTGTTAATCTCCTCTGATGCCACAGAGCTAGATAATGCCAGTGTGTCCTGCTGAAACCTTTTAGAATGAAATACGTTAACGACAGGGTGATAATTACAAGGTCTGATACAATAATGCTGCGTGAAAAAAGTGTATTAGTTAACAAAAAAGGTGTAAAAAAAATCATAAATATCTGAAACATAATTCTTTATTATAAGTTTAATTTAATAAAATCCTTTCCTAAAAAATTAAATCAATGAAACAATATCTACATTTCATCCAACATAATATACAGTATTATAAAGCACTTTAAAACACCACTGGCCAAAAGTGATATACTTAAATGAAAGAATAAAAGAAAGTAAAAAAATACATCACCATTAAACACATGTATTATAAAAAATGTAATAAAAAAAAGTAAAAAACATGTTTCTGGAGAATAGAACTAAGTGGAAGTAAACACAATAAAGAGGGCCAAGTTAAAAGCCCTGAGGAGCTCCGCAAGTAAGGGTACAACAGAAGACAAAAAAGGTGCCAAAGTGGAACAAAAGTCTAATAAGACGAGGCAGGATTGGATCGTTAGGAAACCCAGCAGGCTTTATGTGATCCTAATGCTCACAAAATTGTAAATTAAAAAATAAAGCTAAAAAAAATGTTTTCACACTTGAAACTGAGTTCCTAGTTCTGTGGCCAACAAAAGAGTTTAAAGTTTTAAAACAAATACGAGGACTGCAATGTTTAGAGGTATTGATACCAGAAAACTATTCCGTCTTAACAGCTTGGATAGTTATTTGTTCTCCTTCACTCCCGCCAGGCAGCATCGTGGCGTCATTTGTCCAGGGCTCAGGACTGGGTTTGGCAGGTCTTAACTTTAGCGAGGCCACTGCAACTAGTACAGCTTGACATGTTAGGCTGAAAGAAGAAAAGAAAAAGAGCTGTAACATCTGAAAAAAGACCCACAGAATCACTGGGGCTGATCTAGAGTTTGTTGGTTACTGATCCACCTAGGTTTAAGATCCAAATCTTCACACTCGCACCGAATCAGAACAATGAATCCAAGATCTAAATTAACCCGGATCCTCCACGCCCTCTGGCAGACTACAGCTAAGTCTGTGAGTTAGCGAAGATGGTTTAACCATGTGACAGGGGAATGGCATAAAAACCACAACAGCCATGTGGTCTGAAAAAGCAGCATTTTCATGTTAAAAACATTAATGAGCTAAAATAAGATCTAAAGTGATTATGTCAGTTGAAACATAAACTGAACAAAGTTAAGATGTAAAAAGTGTCTGACCAACATTCTGACTAGATAACACATGAATATTAAAATCTCCAACTAATAAAAGGTCAGTGATCAGCAGAGTCAGCAAGAAAGACTTMATTGTACCTTGGAGGTCTTGCATAAAACAACACACAGCACCAGGCTGAAATTAGTTTATCTCAAAGCTGGAATAAGACGTAATTAACATGACCTGTTTACAGCGATAGTTCTCCCTGTAAACAGTCACTATGCCTGCTCCCTGACCTGTCACCTCCAGAGAGTTCAAGTAGGTACAGTTCCAGGGGTCAACACAGGGTAGGCAAAGTGAAAATCATGGATTAAAATTATTAAAGCATACAGGTGATTTTAACTCTTTTTCCTATCACCACCGTTAACAAAAAAAGGTTTCCTCCATGGACTCTTCATCCAACACAACACCGATCACTGAGTGAAAAAAACATCACAACACCCAGCCATATCATTATATGAGCTGTGGGAGAGCAGCCCGTTTATACTGTCAGGAAATAGACGTCCAATTTTTTTGTCAATTTTTTTTGGAACAAGACATGCGACTCAAAGTATAAAACAAGCTTCAATCAGGATTTCTCCGACTATTTTCCAAGGAGGACTAGGTATCTTAACAAGCCAGCTTCCCCTTATACCGGATGACCAGAGGAACCAGAGATGAGCCAATTATCTAGCACCTTTCTATGCAACCAGGATGCTCAAAGCTCTTTACAACACAATCTGTGACCTCATTTACCCATTCACGCAGCACTCTATGTCTCTTTACAAAGTTCATCTGGATAAATCCATCTATAGAGAGTCAGTGCTTTAGATCACCTTCATACACTGATGGCCGATGGGACACACATCAGTGGCAGTAGGGGTTCAGGGTCTTGCCCAGATGTGATTGAACAGCAAGGAATTGAACCACTAACTCTCTCATTAGAAGACAACTAACCTAACCAGTCATCCACAGCCACCTCAAGTATATCAGAAAGAAATGGAAAGACAACATTTTTTGTCCTGACTGACCCAAATTTCTAACAGAGGTTTGAATCAGCAGAGAGTTGGCTCATCAAGTGATGAACGACAAAAAATATTAAGAAAACAGCCAAAGTTTGCAGAGATAGGCAAGCCATACACATTGGCACCATCTCATGTTTTATTAATGTTTCTGACAAGCACAACATTCAACAGCAATTTCTTCCCTTGTCTTAAAATTCTGTTTCTACAATTGTACCCCCCCCCCCCCAAGTTTCTCATCACAGTTTCATACATCCATTTTCATAGTAAATGTACAAAAACGTGAGCAGACGCAGACTCCAGTGTGTCCTAGATTTACTGTCCAACACAGGCCTCTTTTATTTGTGGTCAGGCAAATGTCTCCAACACTGCAGGTGTTTTACATTGACTGTGAAAAAGAGGCTATTTGGAAAGGACTGCTTTAACTCTGTTTTTACAAATGATTTAAAGGTGCGAGGATACTGGAGTACTGTGGGACTGCAGTAAAATCAACGCAACATACATCAACTTTTCATTTTTTAAAATTAAAATTGACAAGTCTACTACTCATCTCCATGCAGGAATTACTACTTCTGACTACAAGTTTTGTGTTCATCAGGAAAGAATCAGTACCCTTGGAACACAAACATCAGACTGTCATGTGACCACTCTTTTATTGAAGRAGATTCTTTCATTTGGGAATGCTACGGTACTTTCAAAACAGCAGAGGCACTTAACATGACAGTTTGTGTGTCAAAACGTAAAACAATAAACTAAGTAGCCTGTAAGAGTCGGTATAAATTAAAGAATGAATGCATAAATGTGGCAGTGTATAAATATTTTGTACGGTATAAAAAAAACCTATACAAAAAAAAGCTATCAAAGCACTATTTTTACTCCCTTTAATGCATAAATACTATTTACAGTGTATAGTTTTCACTAGTCAAAAATATATAGAGTTGACTGACATTTTTGCAAACTAGCAGAGTAGAATGATGGGATGGGAATCAGCCCCCTAGAGGAGAGTTAGCATCAGAGTGTCAAATGCTGACAGCTAAGCCTGCTGCTCTGAGCGCAGTGGGAGGGAGGCTGGAGCATCGTGACCTTGGTTACTTCTGTAGGAGCCTCTAGGCATGTCAGCATCAGCCCTGAGTTTTGTTTAAATCAGACCT